GAGTAGCAGTCAGGACACCCAATGTCCTCCTCTGGTCTCCATCTGTGTTCATGGGCTCCTGAACCCATTTCTCCACTCACAAATACACAGACATAATGTGCATACACCACACACGCATACATACGCATATACCACATACACATAAATACACACATACATGGGGCTGGACATGGTGATGCACTCAGGAAGCAGAGGCAGACAGAATTCTGTGAGTTCCAGGACAGTTAGAGCTACAGAGTGAGACCGGGTCTCAAAAAACAAAACACAACACACATATACTACACAGTATACACACACACACACACACACACCACATAAATACATGCATACCACACATACATCTCTCACACACATATATACATATAAATACACACACGCACACATGCACCACACGCTAAAAAGGAAGGAGCCGCCTTTTTGCTTAGCCTGACATGATCAAAGGACTTCCACCTTACTGAGCCCTCCTAACATACCCGGCCTCAGGGAACCTTAGAGTCATGAACAGGCCTGCTTACAGAGGGACGAGTTGAGGCTCCACAGGACACGGTGAGGAGCCAGATGACACGCGCCCCAGCACTGAGCCTGGATAGGGGTGCTCTTTGAGATAACCATGTGACTTGCCTCTCCTTGCTGCTTGCAGCTTGAACAATGAAGTCTTGTCCTCCCTTCAAGCTGGAATAGGTCCCGTGGACTTGGCCACCCGAGTGCTGGTTCTGTGCAAATCCCTCTGCCTTTGAGGACCCAGCTGGGCACACAGGAGGCAGAAGGTCTGGCTGTCCTGCCTGGCTGAAAATAAGCTATTTCCAGTGAGCCCAGAGCAAATGGTGAGAAGCAGAGACCAGCCTACCTGCATATCTAGCCTTTTGGGAGAGGAGACGCGGTCGGTGGTCATGTCTCCCGAAGCACCTGCCACCACAGACTTCTGGCTCCTCGCTCCAGAACGAATGCCAGCCCAGCCCCTTTCAGTGTCTCTGACCATATCCTGCCTCTTCTTCCCACCCACGGCTCAGCTACTGCCCAGTGGGACCCCGTGAAGGACCACAAAGGAACCGAGAGGGCCCCGCTTACCTTTAACTTCAGCCCAGACAAGCACAGCTTTCCCTGGTGAGCCGCCCCAGCTTATTTATGCTGCAAAGGGTGGAGGTGGATCTATTCCCGGGCTACTCTATACAGAGGCAGGGGGAGGATCCAGGTCGGGAGGCCATGGGAATCCAGGCTTAGCCAAGATGGATCAAGGCCAAGGCGATGTTCCTTTGGTTCCCTTCCAGGAAGCCCTGGTGACAGATGAGCGCCATGCAGAATGGACTGGCGTGGAGTCCAGTTACACATTTACCCCAGGTCCAGGGTCGGGGCCACAGTCACGGGACTGACTGGGTTGTGACAGCCTGAAGTCAGCCATACAGGCCTTGGGACTCAAGCCCCTCGTGATGCATTTGTAAGCTCTCAGGACCTGCCAGGAAGGGGCCCTCCTGCAGGGGAATGAGCCTCACATCCCCAGCTGCTCCCGGGATGTATGGCTTTGAACAGCTATCATTGCATTTGTTGCCTGTTCTTCACAGGAGCTTCTAACGTGCTGTGGGCCCACACCACCAGTAGGAAGTGCCTTCCCGAAACTTCTAGCACATCTGGGGAGGCTGGGAAATTTCATCTGCAGTGCAGCCATATTGAAACAAAATGTTCTGGGCTTGTGGACCGGAGCTGCCTGTTTTGGAGGGTGGAGGTTTTGGAGTGTCGCTGTGGACGAGGGTGGAGAGGGCTGTGAAGATGAGGTTTTAGAGGATGAGGCTGGTGGGACCCCAAGGAAGGGTGACAAAATGGGGACAGACCCGGGGGAGAAGGCCTGCCGGAGGGCTCCTTCATGCAGTCCACCATAGAGGGTGACAGGCTTGCATTGTCACAACCACCCAGAACCTTAGCTATCTCTTAGCCTTGGCGTGGACACAGGCACAACCTCCCTCCACCCAGATGGGGCCTGGGGGAGAAGGCAGAAGGATGGGCAAGCACTGGGGTTACAGAAATACATCACTCTGCCTGGTCTATGGGCCACTGAGGATTGAACTCGGGACTTCATGCGTGCAAGGCAAACACTCTACCCACTGAGCTGCTCTCAGGCAGACTCCAATAGTCAACCTCAGAAGCTATTTATCAGGGAAAATTCCTCAGCAGTCACACACATCTAAACCAAATCTTCAGAGTTAAAGTGACAGATTCTGGGGGTGACCGCAGAGCGCTATTTCCATCCGAGTAGAATGAGGTAACAGCAGCAGAGGGAAAGTACTGTTTCCTAACCCTCTCTACTCTGGCTCGTTAGCGCCCATGCGCCCACAGCCACAGCCACACATTGCCAGTCCGAACTCCATGTTTGCCTTGGCGCGGGTGCTGGGAAAGTCTATGGGAGGGAGCTTCTGCCCCAGCTCAGTGAGTGTAGATAAGGCATGGCCCTTCCTACGGAAAAATGTCATCACCCTCTTTCCAACAGAGCTCCAAGCAATGGTAGAAGATCTGTCCTACGGGCCTGGCTGTCTCTTGCGAAAACTGAGCTCTGGAAATAATATTTACTCAATGGTCAGCTCTTCTATGGAAAACACAGCAAAGACATTTGGAAACACAAACACTAGTGTCTTTTTGCTGCAGACGAGGAAGAGAGGGGGCAAGGCAGCATGGATGCAGGGCACCGAGGTGCAAGTCTACAGTTCCAATCTAGGGAGGTAGAGCCAGGAGGACCACCTCCAGTTCAAGGCCAGCCTGAGCTACAGAGTAAGATTCTGTACCAAGGAGGCTGGGGAGATGGCTCAGTGGTTAAGAGCATTGCCTGCTCTTCCAGAGGTCCTGAGTTCAATTCCCAGCAACCGCATGGTGGCTCACAACCATCAGTAAAGAGGTCTGGCGCCCTCTTCTGGCCTTTAGGCATACACACAGACAGAATATTATATACATAATAAATAAATATTTGAAAAAAAAAAGATTCTGTACCAAAAAAACAAGCCAAGAAGGTGGATCAAGGGCCTCAGCGGAGGACTGCCAGGAAACTCTGTGGTTGCTGGGGTTCATTAGCTGCCGCTAAGTCATGACGCCAGTCACTGTATAGAGCTTGACAGCCCCCACTGCCTGGACATCCGTGTGAGAAGTAACCACAATGGCTGCTGTGCTCATCTGAGTGATGAGAAGTAGCTGTGGCCTTGTACACAGTCCGAGGCACGTGGTCCAGCTGTGTGGCTAGGGTTGCGGCACTGGCACTGGTGTTCCAGGTGGGAGAGATTGGCACCTGGTTAACACACAGGGTGTTTAAAACAAAGTGTGTGCCTCACAAGCAGAAGAGAGAGAGAGAGAGAGAGAGAGAAACACACAGAAATATTTGGTGGTACATGCTTGTAACCCCATCACTGGGGAGGTGGAGACAGTTGTATCCTGGCGCTCACAGAACGGCTACTCTTGTCTGTTGCAAGCCAGTGAGAGACACCATCTCCAAAAAAAAGGTGTGATCCCTAAGAAACAACAGCAATAGTTCCTAGTTCCCTTCTGATCTCAACTATGCACATACTCCACCTTACACACATGCATCCCCTCCCACACGCAAAGAACTGGAAGAAAAGGAGAGGAGAAGGAAGGAGATCGGAGCAAGGTGGCTGCACATGGGCTCGCCTTGCTCACAGGAGATGTACCTCTTATGTGTATGTCCACACAGTCCGTGACCACGAGGATCACCACGTAGGAGGACAAAGGTGGCAAGACAGTTCAGCAGGCAAAGCACCTGGATCCAAGCCTTATAACCTGACTTCAGTCCCCAGGATCCACATGGTAGAGAGAGCTGACATCTTACATTGTCCTATGAAACTCGTAAGCACATACACGCACACGCACACACACACACACACACACACACACACACACACACACACACACAAGTAAATGTGTATGCGTGTGTTTTAAAGAGCAAAGGTGACCTAACCCTGTGCCTGATGTAACCTCCCCCCCACCTCCCGCACTCTGCCCTTTGCTACTCCACCTTTCTGCTTTCATCCACACTCAGCCAGGCCAGAGCCTGGGGACCGCAGCATCCTGTCGCCCTCCCTCGGCTCCAAGCAGTGATATCAACCTGAATGCTGTCAGGTCAAGGCAAGTACCAGATATAAATAAGAGGTGTGATCCTTCCTGTGGAAGATGGAAGAACTCGCTTCCCCCTTTCTTGAGGGGTGGCTGTGTGCAGCCCATCATCATGGGGACTTTCTCCTGTAGCTATGCAAAATCTCTTCAAGGACTAGGCAGGCTTAGCCAGTTGCAGCAACCGGGAACGTTCATCACGGTCCTGGACCATCTCTGGAGACACAGGCCACAGTTCTGGGTCTCTGTGGGAAGCAAGACGCAATTTTGAGAGCATCTGCTCCAAGGCACCAAATCCTCTAGCAGGAGGAAGGAAAGCTTGCCCTGCCTCCGGGTGAAGTCTTGTGATTGATGGGCTTCTTTCTGCCTGGGTGGTTCTTCGCAGCCAGGCTCCTGCCTCATCTGGTTCCTTGGTAACCAGAGCCATATCCTGCAAGCTGTGGAAGGTGACTTCAGGTCTAGCTCCAACAGCGCTCCCTGTTGGTGGGCGGCTCTCATGACTCCCGACATCACCCCCTCTCTACACCACCAGAAGGGAAGGGGGTTCTTTTCCTCTGTTCAAACTTCTGATGGAGCCCTCTCAGAGGGCTTTCCCAAGGCTGCCTTCCCAGTCAGTGTGCAATCCCATGACCGCCACCCCTTTACAGCCACAGCACCTGCCTCCTGATCCCTGGTCCAACACAGTGAGCACACTTTCTTTGTCCCCCACACAGTGGGACACTGGTCATTCCCACCATGCAGCATCGTCACACATATCTGGGCTCCAGCAGAGGCCTGTGGCCGCCTCATCCCACTGTGGCACCCTGTCTCAAGGTGATGGTGTCAGCACATGGCATGAAACTCTTCTCACAGTGGAAATCCCACTGACGACCCTTGGCTATGAGACAGACCTTCGTCCTCAGCTACGGATTTCCACCTCCTTGCATCCTGAAGTCTGTCTCAGTTGCTGCGAGTCGGTAAGGCACTTCCAAATGACACCCTTGGTGTGCGAGGACAGAAAGCCTCTGAGGGACTGGCCCTGTTCTAGAGAACTTGACCATGAAGTTCAGATGGGGAGAAATTAGGCAATTTCTTTTTCCTCCTTCTTTCTTTTCCTCCTTCTTTCATTCCTTCTTCCTCCCCTCCCCACTTCCCACAGGATCTCTAGCCCAGGCTGTGGAACTTTAGATTTCCGCTGCTCCTGTTCCACCACCCAGCGCTGGCGTTGCAGTCATGAACCAACACGCCTGTTTTGGAGGTGCTGACCCCCCAGCCCAGGCCCTGCTGCATGCTAGACGTGTGCTCTGTCAATTGGGGCAATATCTCAGCACTGTTTCTCGCAAGTCAGTTTGACGGGACTGTATAAAGGTGGGGATCATCTTCATCTCAGCCAGACACCCAGCCGGCATTACCCAGTGGCTCCCTTAGACCTGGAGACCCTGCCACAGGCCCTGCTAACTCCTCAGGCACCACTGTCCTGGCTCCAGGAAGAGAGCCTGTGCTGGACAGTGCCTGTGTCTACCTCTGAGATGCCTAGACGCTTTGCTCGAGCCACCGAGAGCTTCAAGATCATGATGTGGGGTTTGATGTGATGAGAGACATGGGGAGCGCAGGGTCTGGAGAGGAGATTTATAGCTGAGTTGACTTGTCCCGGGGCCAAACCACTAGGGCCTCATGCTTTTGTAGGGAGTGTATGAGAGAGAGAGAGAGAGAGAGAGAGAGAGAGAGAGAGAGAGAGAGAGTGTGTGTGTGTGTGTGTGTGTGTGAGAGAGAGAGATGATATTCCTCGGGTGCCAAACACCTTGTTGTTATTATTTCTTTGTCTGTATGGGTGTTTTGCCTGAATTATGTACATGCACCACATGTATGCAGTGTTTGCAGAAGCCAGAAGAAGTGATTGTTAGAACTGGAGTTACAGATGGTTGTGAGCTACTGCATGGGTGCTGGGAATCGAACTAGGGCCTTCTGGAAGAGCAGTCAGTGCTCCTAGGTGCTGAGTCATCTCTCCTGCCCTCATACCTTGCTCTTTTGCTTGTTGTTTTTGTTCTTTTTGGAGACAGGGTTTCTCTGTATAATAGCTAGCCTTGGCTATCCTGAAACTCACTTTGGAGACCAGGCTGGCCTGGAACTCACAGAGATTCACCTGCCTCTGCCTCCTGAGTGCTAGAATTAGAGATGTGTGCCACCCCCGCTGGAGTGCCTTGTTGTTTTGAGACAGCACTTCTCATTAGCCTGAGCTAGCCCCAAGAGACCCACCGGTCTCCACTTTCTCAGTGCTGGAATTACAAGTAGATTCTCCTATGCCCAGCTTTTTCTAATGTAGATCCTGGAGGCTCAAACTCGGCTCCTTGTTGAATGGGCAGTGAGCACTTTCCCATGCTGAGCCAGTTCCCCAGCCTTGTAGGGAAGGCTCAGTACGACTATAACCTCATCCTTGTGGCAACACACTTGCTTCGGCAACTGTGACCATCAGGTGAGTGAGTGGTTGGATCACAGACAGCGCTCCGTGGACTTGGCCTGCCGCAGAAGAGGCTGCTGAGCCCTGATGGAAGTCAGGCTGGGATTGTGTTCACAAGAGCCCAGGGAGCTCTGCTAGCAGTGTGGCATTGTCATTCACCCAGGTCCCTCCACCCACAATGCTCTGCCGCTCTGCCCTGACTCTGGGCCCCACACTCCTGGACCCCTTTGGTTGCTTACTATCCTTCCCTATGAAGCTGCCCTGCCTGTCCTTCAGGGACTCCCTCTGCCTCGAACAGAGGTACCTCCTCCCTCTGCTCAGACTTTGCCATGCTCTAGAGATGCCTGTGCCTCCTCAGAGCCTGAGTGGGCAGAGGTCTCACTCGGTATTTGCCATCTGGGAAGGGCCCTATCTCATTTCACAGGGAGGTGCCCAGCAAGCTGGTGCAGGCTAGGGTGAGAGCCTCTGGTTGTTCCTCTTTGTTGGCCACTCTCCCCTCGTCTCTCACATCTTCTGCCTCTACCAGGCTGTGGAGAAGCTGTCATGCCTTACCTGCATCGGTCTCTGAGGTCCCAGCCACACCCAGTCTCTGGGGATGCCCGGACTATCCACTCTTCGGGTCAAAGCTTTGAACAGTTGAGGCAGGGTTGCCTACAGTCGAGAACCTTGTTTGAGGATGCTGACTTCCCTGCCAGCAACAGTTCCCTGTTCTACAGCGAGAGGCCCCAGATCCCCTTTGTGTGGAAACGACCAGGGGTGAGTAGGGTGAGAGGGAGGAGAGACAGGAGGGGGATAGGGATAAGGGGAGAGAGGGGGGTAGACTGAAGGGGATGGAGGAGAGCCAGTCACTTGTAAGACCACTTTCTGTCCTTTGTGGGAGGCTTTCTGGTAGTGTGCTGGCTGGAGACACCTTCAGCTGTTCCCCAGCCACAACATTTGGCCTCCAGCTGAGTCCCACTGCATCTGGAGACACACAGAGAGAAGGTCTCATCTATGACCTGTGAACAGGATCAGAGCTGTAGCATCAGAGCGTCAGTGCTCTGGTGACTTGGTAAATCAGAACACAAAGGCAAACTATCCAGGATGACAGGTGTGGGAGTGGGCCGGGGGTGGGGGCATTCAGTTGAGATATGTGTGATGTATTAGGGGACAGCCAGCCCTGCTCTGAAGCTTTTGGTCTGGAGTTGAGGTTGAACCAGGGGGTTAGGTGGATGTTGCTACAGGTTCTCAGCAAGTCTGTGATACCTGGACCCCAGGTAAAGCGGGGCTCCTTTTCCAAAGCAACACACACCACTCCCAGAAAGACAAAGCCAGTGGGTGCCTAGGAGGCCCCAGCTGGTGCTCAGGACACACCGTCAATATTTGCAGCCCTGATTAGTCGGGGCCCTCCCTGTGACCCAGGGCCATGACGCTGCACCCTCTGGGTGGGAACAGATGTTGTGTGGGGGGAGGGGCAGTGGACCGGCTGCTGCCTCACCTAGAGATGACTGAGGTGGGTCCTGGCGGGCACACAAGTGTCCTTAGTAAACAACATATTTTCACTGTTAGCATTGCTGTGTGCTTCTCTATCATCAGCTGCTCAGAATCTCATCTTGACATTTTATTTGTTTGTTCATTTACTTGTGTGTGTGTGTGTGTGTGTCTGTCTGTGTGTGTGTGTGTGTGTGTGTGTGCACATGGGTGCCACAATGGTCATGTGACGGTCAGATGATAACGTGCAGGAACAGGTTCTCTCCTTCCACTATATGGGTCCCAGGAATCAAATTCAGGCCATTGGCCTTAGGCATAAAGTGCCTTTACCTGCTGAGCCTCTTACCAGTCCTTATTTATTCTGCCTGAAGGCGTGAATAAATAAACAAGCCATAGCCCATGTATGGAAGTCAGGGAACAACTCTTGGGAGTTTCTTTTTTTTTTGCTACCTTGTGAGGTCTGGGGGTCAAACTCAGGTCCTTGGGCCCATATGCAAGTGCTCTACCTACCGCGCAGTCTTGCCAGACCTCAGCCCTCATCCTTCTTCCCGTAACCACTGCCTCCTCTTGCACATCGTTCCAGTGGTGTCAGTGTGCTCAGCACACGACATGTCTACGTTTTAGAAAACACACAAGAAAGACATCATGGCTCCTGGGGGCATTAACTATAAACCAGTATAAACCAATGAGGTTGTCCCAGTTTGGGAACGTAATGATTTGTTCTGTCCTGGGAGAGGACAGCAGAAGAGAACAACAGTGTGCCATGCTGTACAGAGAAGGCCACACAGCCACCCTGAGACACAAAGATGGAGGAGGAGCTGTTCTGCTGCCTCGTTGTCTGCCCTGGGCATGGCGGATGGGGTCAGTTAATGGACAGACTCCAAGGTTTCTGGGGCCGCGGGCCGGTACAAAAGGTTGTGCAGGATCTCGGGGAGAAGCTGGCCTCCCATGTCGGTCTTCTGCCAGGCCTGGGCTTCTGGCACAGCCAACAGCACAGTCTGTCCCCAGAACCATCCTCCTAAGGTCACATGAACACGTTAGAAACAAATAAAGGCACAGAGCCCTTCTTCAGCAGGTGACCTAGGACACTACACGCTCCAAAACTGCCACATCCTGAGGGCCTCATGGAGAGCGCCCAGCTTTTACTTCAGCCCCTGGCCTTAGTAGACCCCCACTCCCACCATCTCTCTGGGAACGAAGCCCAGGGAGGAAACAGACAATTTGAACTGCTAGGAGGAGGAGGAGTTGCAGCTGGAGCTACCCCAGGATCCTCTCAGAGACTCCTGGGGTAATGGAAAAATTAAAAATGCTGCAGGATCCCCAGTGGTGGCTGGCAGTGGGCAGGGGGTCCCGAGAGCAGCCAGTCCCAGGCAGGGGTGACTGCAGGTCCCCTAGTGGTGGCTGGTCCAGCTCAGGAAGACACGCGGCGGCAGTGGGCAAGAGACTGAGACATGGATAGGCACACCATGCAGAGATGTAGAGCGAGGTTGGATATTTATTAAGTGGGTTATGAAAGTATGGAAGGGAAGGGGGAAGAAGAGAGAAAAGCAGAGAGAAAGAGACAGAGAGAGAGAGAGAGAGAGAGGAGAGAAGGGAGAGAAGGGAGAGACTGAAGCTGCCTCTCAGAGAGGAAGATGGAAAAGAGAAAGAACTCAGGCTGGAAGCTGAAGATCAGCCTGCCTCAGGAGATAGGGAGAGAGTGGGTGTGGCTTGTCTCTTAAAGAGACAGAACAAATCATTATATTCCCATCTCTTTTTTATATAGTGACTGCTATGATGATCCCAGCAACCAGCAGGCTCAGGCAGAAGGAACCCAAGTTCAAGGCTGGCTTGGACTAGACTGGGGAGTACAAGGCCAGCTGGGTCAACTTCATGAAACATGTCTCAAAATAAAATAAACCTGGGGATGTAGATGGGTGATAGGGCAGTTGCTGAGCATGCTGAGCCCTGGGAGCCATGCTCAGCACAGGCAGAAGGGCAGAAATAAGGTTCCCACTGGAGCTATCTGTTACCTCTGCATGTCAGGGGTCCCGAGACCCCTGCTGTTCTGCTAACAGGTGACTGCGCTTCGTGTGTCATGACTTCATTCTTACGAGACTTTAAACAGTTTTTCATATATACACATCTTAGAGGAGGTGGTGGCACAGGCCTTTTATTCTAGCATTTGGAACAGAGGTAGGAGGATCTCTATGAGTTCAAGGCCAGCCTGGTCTTCATAGCCAGTTCTAGGACATCTAAAGTTACATAGTGATACCCTGTCTCAATAAACCCCACATGTTCCGTATAACTGCTTTTACTTTTTAATATTCTTTATAGAACTTTCCATATTAGGTTTCTATGTTAATGTTTATAGTAATATACATAAAATACACACACTTACACTAAACTCCTAATAGAGTAATGTGTAATAAAGCGTTCATAGTACGTGTGGATTAAATTACATGTGACATAAAGACATCCCTCTAGATGTGGTGCAGACACAGACAATCTATTGAGAAAGGAAAGCAGCTGGGTAGGGTGTGGGGAAGCAGGCCTGAGGAGCTGATCACGTGCTCATTCGATGGAGAAGAGTTCAAAGGCCCGCAGCTGGTAATTCTCGTGGTAAGGGGCTATATAAAACCAGCCTGTGCCTGGCCCCACACCGAGGCTTGGTATGTGGCTGGCACTTCCTGGTGAGATACCGTGTGAGCTTCTATAGACGAAGGTGCCTGTGCCAGGCTCTCCCCTGAGTTGAGCTATGGATGGACTAAACTGAGTTCAGGAAGGTCAGAATGTACATCCCTGGCAGTTTTTCCTCCTCCTGTCCTTCCAGGAGAATCTTCTTCCCCCGAGGGGGCTGCCTTTCTCTCTGTAATGGCTGCTATGCTTTGGGCCTTTCCCTAAGGTACTCTTACCCTCCAGGAAATTGTGGAAAACCCAGAATTCATTCTTGGAGGAGCCACCAGGACTGACATCTGCCAAGGGGAACTGGGTAAGTAGAGAGGAGCGGGGACGACAGGGGATGCCACTTCAGTGCCCCAGAGTGAGAGCAGCACAGGCCCCTTGGGATCAGGGCACAGGGCTGGGCAGAGCAAGGCTGCCACCCTGTCCCCTCCCTCCCTAGTCTTCAGCTTTCTTCCCCGAAGGGAGTCCAGTGGCCTCCCCACCCCTGCCACTCCTGCTTTTCTGGTATGTAGTGCTTGGGTTCTGGGCCTGTCCAGAAGTTTCCAGAGAGTTGAGCCTCCCCTTAAAGCAGCACCTGATTCAGAGGCTCCCAGCCCTCCAGCTCCTCACGGTCACCTCATGGTTTCATAGCTCACTGACGCCTATACCGTGAACTTATGCACCTGCCAGATACACTCCCTAAACTTGCACACTGTTGTTCCTATTCCCAGACACCTCCCAAGACTGCACATCAGGAAACTGAGGCAAGGGAACCAAGCAATATGTCCAAGGTCATGAATGACAGCTGGCAGCCAGATTGCAAAGCCATTTGTCTACAGAAACCTCACTTCTAGCTATTACATCACAGTGGCTTTCGGGCTCACAGCGGGAAATCAGTCCAGTGCATCAAGAGTTAGGGCAAAACTTACCCTTGCCGGATATGTGAAAAACAAACACATCATAGAATCTGCTAAAGAAGGAAGCATGGCTTGTGTAGATTGAGCTACTCATAGCCCAGGCTGTCACCGTGATCCTTGTCACTGGAATCTCAATGTCTTCACTGAGTTTCTTCACTTAGAATCCCAAAGCCAGATGCTGAAACTGGTGACGTTAGACTAGATTGAGAAAGAAAGAAAGAAAGAAAGAAAGAAAGAAAGGAAGGAAGAATATGGATGGATAAGGGTATGTAGATGATAGATTGAAGACGATAATAGACAATAGATAGATGATATATAGATGATAAATTAAAGACATAAGATATATAGATAGACTATAAAAGATAGTCAATATATAACAAGTAAATAGATGATAAATGATAGATAACAGATATACAAGATTGATAATACAGATAGAAAGTAGACTGAAAGATATACCATACAAAATTGATAGATCATACATAAATAAATGTACAGATATGCTATATGATTGACAGATGATAGATGGTACAATTGACAGATGATGGATGGTCAATGAATGGATGGATAGAAGAATGGTGGATAGGTAAATGTTGTATGGGTAGATTAGTGATGAAGGACGGTAGCTGGATGGTGAATGCATGGGTGATGGGCAGAGGTGGATGAGTGAGCGATGAGTAGATGATGTCTAAATGATACATAGATGGATAGATGGATGGAGAGAGCAGTCTAGGCTACATACGGGGTCCAGGTCAGCCTGGTATATAGAATGAAAAAAAAAGCAAAAAAGAAAAAAGAGAGGAAAGAAGGAAGGAAGAAAGGAAGGGAGAAAGAAAGGCTAAGGAGCCTCCCTGGAGCTGTTGCTGCTCAGAGCTGAACCAAGCCTGGTCTAGGAGAGGCAGTAGCCCAGGACTGCAGCAGACACCACTCGGTTGTTTCCAAGACCCCTTCCCCACCCTGACTCCAGAGCCCCTGAGACACATCGTGCAGCTCTGGTCCTCTGGGACCTTATGAAGATGAGATGCGACCACTCAGCAAACGCTGCCCGAGTATCTAATAGGCACACAGAGCACGACAGAAGAGCAGGCTGGACAGGGGGAGGGGACCGAGGGGTTCGCTGTCACTCTGTCGTCTTTAGAAAAGTGGAAATGTGTCTCCTTACCCCTCGGGACCGACTCCTGAGAATCAGCAGCAGCAGAAAGTTTGATCCCTATGTGACCTTCACTCTGCAGGAGACTGCTGGCTCCTGGCGGCCATCGCCTCCCTAACCCTCAACCAGAAAGCACTGGCCAGGGTGGTTCCCCAGGACCAAGGCTTTGGCTCTGGCTATGCCGGGATATTTCACTTCCAGGTAAGGAGAGCCTGAGCCTTTGTGTTTGTTTCGGGGGTAGGAGGCCCAGGAGAAAGTGTGTGCAGCTTTGTACTGTTGACAGCTCTGGGAGCTGTGTGATAGTGTGCATGAGTCCTAGTGTGAACTGTGGGGATCTTCTACGGGGATTTCTAGAGGCAGCAAGCACCAGGAAAGGAGGTGCACACAGTGTCCTCAGGGAAACATGGCTGCTCCTCTGGGGAGCCAGGGCATGTCTCATAAGCAGAGCGGCTCCCTTCACTGAGGAAGTGCAGTTGGGGAGCTGTTGGAGGCTTTCAAACAGAAAACTGAGAAACACGGTCACACAAGCCACGACCTTATGTGACAGCTGATGGTGAGGCTGTCCCTGGAGTCTGATCCTAGTGTTGTCTAGGTTCTTCTGCCGATTTCTCTCCACCTAGGTAAACACACGTGTAATACACAAATGAGCACAATGTACAAACACATTCATAGGTGTATAGACTCACATGTGTGTGTATACCTACCTGCATTCATAAACACACACACGCACTAACATGCCTGTGCCAAGACACACATGCTTCTATACATGCAGGCAACGCACGTTCTTGCATTATCATACCTGTGGACTCATACACAGTACACCCACACAGATGCGCTAGCTCACATATATGCACACTCACACACACACATTCACATATACACATTCTGTCCCACACACAATCGCGCGTGTGCTCACCCTCTGTCCTGGTTTCTTTCTGTCTGTGATAGAGCCCTTTGATGGAAGAGTAACCTAGAGGAGGACAGGGTTTATTCAGCTTATACTTTCAGGTCACGGTTCTTCACCTAGCGGAAGTCAGGGCAGAAACTCAAGCAGACACCATGGAGCAATGGTTTGCTCACTAGCGCATGCTAGCGGTCTTATACAGGGTGGGACTGTCTGCTGAGGTCGGGGAGGGGGGCCCACAGGGAGCTGAGCTCTCCCGCATCACTTTTCAGTCAAGACAAGCTCTCAGACACGGCCACAGGTCAACCCAGTCCGCGCAATTCCTCAACTGCTATGCTGAGATGACTCCAAGCTGTGCCAGACAGTTGATGCCATCTAGGACACCCACACAGTGCACATTTAAGGGTATACACACATGGATTAACCCACAAGTGCATGCACATGAACGCTCACAGACATGTTCACAAACTTAAGTATGTATATGGGTACTCAAGCCCATAAAGGCTTATGTTCACACATGCATACACCCAAACAGACTCTCAGGTGCATTACCCATATGACCCTCATTTCCATATGCATGGCACATAGGGAAACCAAGTCCATACATTCATGTTGGAGCTCTGTCTATGAACCAAGCAGGACTATGCGGGTTGGAAAATGTGGGATAATGAATGGCCAGGACTAGGAGTATACACAGAGACTGGGAACAGAGCTGAGCCCATACACCACCCTCCCCCCACCTAACCTGGTGCCCTATGGAGATGTGTTAGTTCAGAGCACAGACATGTCTACTGTGACGGATTCCTCACCCACTTCCATGGTGACACAGTTCTGAAATTGAATTTTATGATGGATGAAAGCCCAGTATATGGCTGAGTGGACAAATCCAGGTAGCCTTGCTGTGACACCTGGGTTATCCTGCTATGACGCCCAGATGACTCTGCCACGACGTTCATGCGGTCCTGTGTGACACCAGATAAGATTCTCCTTGGAGCACAAGGGAAGTTTGCTCAGAGGGAGGACCCAAGGGGTGAGCATTTACCATGGGGACCACACCTTGGGACTCACCCTTGTCTCCTCAACTTGCCCTGGCACCAGTTCTGGCAGCACAGCGAGTGGCTAGATGTCGTGATTGATGACCGCCTGCCCACCTTCAGGGACCGCCTGGTCTTCCTCCATTCCGCTGACCACAATGAGTTCTGGAGCGCACTGCTGGAGAAAGCCTACGCCAAGTGAGTGGGGCTCCTGCCTCCTGCCCCCAGAGGCCCAGGCTCATCCACTCACAAGGACGTTTGGTGGGAAAACTGGTGTGGTTAGTAAGGAAGAGTGCTCACATCTCCTAGGACACAGGCAGACAAGCCTGATGCAGCGGTCCACAGTGAACAATTGATGAGACATACGTCAGATTAGAGAAAAGCCGGAAGCTAGCCATTGGAGGGCAAGGTTACCCACCAGTGCGTAACCTTGCATATGTGGATGGAGGGAGCTGGAGCACAGGGGGCTCTCACCCATCAGAGGCAGCGGTGAGAAGTGCATGTGTATAAACGTAGGTTATACACACAAATACAAAATGCTAGGTTGGCCGTGAATGGCTGTAACCCCAGTGCTGTAGGGAACAGGGGCAGGAAGGTTTCTGGAGTTTGCTGGCCATTGTCCTAGCCCCAGACTCAGTGAAAGACCCTGTAAGGGAACAAGGAGGAGAGTGATAGACATGACATTCACAACCCTCCCCTGGCTTCTGTGTGTGCACACAGGCATATGCATCCATACACAACAGCTGCACACATACATTCACACACACACACACACACACACACACATTTCAAGAAGAAGCTGGGCATAGTGATGAATGTCTTTAACCCCAGCTCTGGGAAAACTGAGGTAGGAGGATCAACATAAGTTTGAGCCCAACCTGGCCTGCTCAGGCTAGCCAGGATATATAGCAATATTGTGTCTTAAGTTTTTTTCTTTCAATTAGAAGCTGAATGTGGTTCCTTACTCCTACAGTATTAGAACTGGGGAATCTGAGACAGAGGGATTGCTGTGAGTTTGAGGCCCACTTGGTCTATGGAATCAGGGCCTGTCTCAACAAAGAACAATGAGAATCCCCGTTGTGGAATATTTGTTTGACTATATAACAATGTGCTGCATCTTTCTAACTGTGCAAAGATGTGTTGCTGTTTTATCTTGCCTGCCTAAAGGCACCTGATTAATCTAATAAAAAATTGAATGATCAATACAGAGGGAGGAGATATAGGTAGAACTTCCAGGCTGGGCAAGTAAGTAGGAGGAGGAATTTAGGCTTGGGGAAGAAAGAAAAGAAATGCCAGGGAGATGCCAGGGAGACTCCAGGGGCCAGCCAGACACAGAGGAAAAGGGAAAGTGGGAATACAGAATGAAAGAAAGGTTAAAAAAACAAATAAAACAAACAAACAAACAAAAAACCTCGAGGCAAAACGTAGATGAATAGAAACAGGATAAATTAAATTAAAAGAGCTAGTGGGACAAGCCTAAGCTAAGATCGAGCATTCATAATTAATACATCTCTCTGTCTTTATTGGGGAGCTGGTTGGCAGTCCAAAGAAAATTCCAGCTATGAATCTCAGCACTTAGGAGGCAGGAGAACAAACAAGAAAGCGTGCAGTTTAAACACACAAACCATGTTCAGCAGGAAGACTGTGAGAGAGCTCCACAGACTCCTCCCCTTGCCAGCCTCGGTTGCTCAGCTGGCTGGTGCCCAGGACTTGCCCCACTACCAACCACTGCCTTTCCTCATAGAGTCCAGCTTGCGCTCTGCGAACTGAGCAAACCGTCTCCCTGTCCCTCCACCCCCTCAAACAATCCACTCTTCCATCGTCATAGGCTTAACGGGAGTTATGAGGCCCTGAAGGGGGGCAGCACCATGGAGGCCATGGAAGACTTCACTGGGGGTGTGGCCGAGACCTTCCAAATGCGAGAAGCACCGGAGGACTTCTATGATATTCTGGAGAAGGCCTTGAAGCGTGGTTCCCTGCTGGGCTGCTCCATAGATGTAAGTGGCTGGCCGGCCATCTAGGCACCAACAGACAGAAGCAGCAACCCAAAAGGCACTTGAGTATGGTCATCTTTAATTACCACACAAGGTGGTAGAACACTTGCCTGGCTTGCAGGCAGCCCTGGGACCCGTCCCCAACACTGTATAAGAGAGACTGGGGAGACACAGCTGTGACTCCTAGCACTCAGGAGAAGGTGGCAGGAGGGTCAGAAGTTCAAAGTCATCTTCCACTCCATAACCGGAGGACAGGCTGGGATACGCCAGATTGTCTCAAACAAACAAGCAAATGCAAGCCTTTGTTTAATGCGTGTTGGGTTGCAAAAGGCAAATATCCCTGCAGCCAAGTGAGGCACCCGTGAGGTCTGGAAGCGCGGGGTCTGTGTCTCCTGTCAAACCCAGGGCTGCTTCCCCAGCAGCACAGCAGCCAGGGCGCTGGCTGTGCTCAACGCCAGAGCTGTCACTCTGCTGCCCATCAACGCTGACGTCATCCCACCCAAGGGACCCTCCGGCGTGCTTTTCTGAAATGTGTTCCTTTTACTTTCTATGCCATGAAAGAGAAGCCACCAGATAGAAAGCCACCAGCATTTTCCTAATTCCGCTATGCAGTAGGATACATACGTAGATATAATTTCTACCCTCTGCTTTTGAAAGCTACTCAAGTTCACCTTTCTTTTTGGATTAACTATAAAAATTTGTTTTTTTTATAAACGCTTCTCCTGAAGATTCATGTTTTGTAACCAAATCACGTTACCAGGGTATGTCTCTCCTCTGTGTCACTGTGGGTGCCATCTACCCATCTATAACCAGGGTGGCTAGTTTCTGTTTGGAGATAGAAAAGCAAACTCATTTCAATCTATGGGGTCATCATCCCCCCCCCCCCCGACACCCTTGGAAGAGATTGGTATTGCTGTCTATCACTGATGAACCTATTAGGGCATCCTGCACCCCCAACTTCTAAGACTTGCATACATGGTTGCCCTAGCGGAAGTGAGGACTGGGATGTGTGAGCTGGGCATAGGGCTGGGGCTAGGGCTGATCCGGGGAGTCTGGGTCAGAGGATGGGTATGACCCTTGTTCTTCCTTTGTTCTAGATCCTGGATGCCTCTGAATCTGAAGCCCGCACACCTTTTGGTCTCGTTAAGGGCCACGCCTACACTGTGACTGGGCTGGACCAGGTAGGGATGGGGCCCACTTTAGGAGACTGAGGTCGGGAAACAGGACAACACCGGTCTTCAGATTTGCTGTGAGCAGAGAACAGACTACCTAACACAGGTGGGCTGGGGTGAAACACAGCAGGCAGGAACCAGAGAGCAGGCAGGTGATCTCACTCCGAACTCGCCGTTTGGGAATTGCAGTTGGTCTGAGCTTATGGTTCTTTGTTTGGTTGGTTGGTGGCTTGATTGGTTTTTGGAGACAGGGTTTCTCTGTGTAGAACTCGCTCTGTAGACCAGACTGGCCTCAAACTCACAGAGATCCACTTGCTTCTGCATTCTGTCCACAGACAAGGTGCTTGCTCATTTCTGAATGTGAGATTTCTGACAAGAGTTGGCTCGTATGATTACAGAACCATGAGCTCCCGAATTCTGAGGCTTGAATTGTTTCCTTTTTTCTTGTCTGAGACAGAATCTCACATATTTTAGGCTGGCCTTGGACTTGTTATATTGTCAAAGATGGTCTTGAAGTTTTGGTTCACGGGCTTCTACCACCCAAGTGCCTCAAATGGATGGGCCATCTGGGATAGCGTTGCACATCTGTAGCCCTAGCATCCTGTTACTCCAGCAACGGGAGGCTGATGCCAGCCTGGGTTACACAGCAAGCTCGAGATGAGCCTGGGTGCTTAGTGAGACTCTGTCTCAAAAGAAAATGACTTTCTCACCAGGCCTGGTGGTGTAGGCTTATAATCCCAGTACTTAGAAGGCTGGGATGGGAGTGTGGGAAATCGAAGGCCAGGATATAGAGAAACCTGTCTCAGAAAAGCTGAGTGGGCCTGAAAGAAGATGTGTTTGGGCAACACATCTCCAGTGTGTTTTACCCACGAGCCTGAATAATGTCGCCATACATAGAAACGGACCTGGGTCTTCCGGATGACTAAAGCCAATGTCAGGCTCATCACACTGTTTCCTTGACGCTTTTTCCTTTGAGGTAAACTTCCAAGACCGGAGAATCAAGCTCATTAGAGTTCGAAACCCTTGGGGCCAGGTGGAGTGGACCGGGCGCTGGAGCGACAGGTGAGAGGCTCTGTTCCTTCTCCGTGGCCAGCTCCATGTGTCTGGAGTCCTGTGCAGAACTCCCTGATTCTTCCCTTCAGGCCTCACTTAGAATACCTATGTCAAACTTGATCCTGTATAAACAACTCTCAGGATAGCTCTTTCACCGCCACGCAGTCACATTTGCAGATAGTTACTGCCACTGGGGTATCAAGAAGGACTTTGACTCCAGTTACGGGAATCCATGTATGCATGTGTGCGTGGGTGAGTGTGCATGGGTGTTTGAGGCTGGGAATCTCTGAAACACTGCCAAGCAGGTCACTCTACAGCTCTTTCTGGTAGCCATTGATCTCTGGCGAAAGCCAACAGAGAAACAGAAGAAGAACAGGAAATTGGCCCATTACTAGACTCTTTCCAGGCTGTCCCCACCAGTCCTAGAGACAGTGATCAGGTGACTGGGAATTGAGAAGACACAGCCTCTCCACAGCCCTGCAAGACTCTGGTGCTGCTGGTCCACATTTGCCCTTCTCAGATGTCAAGGAGACTGGCTAGGAAGGATTTGGACCAGGACTGCAAAGGAAGGGCAAGATGAGCCTCCCTCTGCCGGTGGAAATGGGGAGAACTGAGACAGAGTGAGGCCTGAATTAACAAGACTGACGTTGAAACTAGAATTAACATGAGTTGCAGAATCAATCTATAAAAGGAAGCTGCCATTTTCCTCTTCTGAAACTCTGGCTGAAGGAGAAACGGAGGCTGCAGTTGGAGAAGGACAGAGGCTGTCTGCCCACAGAGCAGGTGGCATGACCATTCTAGTCCCTTGGGGTCCTATGCTGCCACGTCAAAGGCCTTGCTCAGCTGCCCATCGCTGAATGCATCCCACTTTGAAGAAGATGACTCAGCGAGTCAACAGAGACCCTTAGTTCTCTCTTCTGTCCTGTTGGGGCCCTCCCTGGATGCCATGAGCCTGCCTAGCCCTGCCACACAGTCACCAAATCACAGCAGAAGTGACGAGATTTAAATGACAGCCACTCCCTTCACCTGAGATCTCACCATCCAGAGTATCAATTAAATATGGTCAACTGAGGTCTGAAAACACAGTATCATATGGAAAATTCTAGATATAAATATTGACCACCACTGTGTTGTGGTCTATTGCAGTGTGTGTTCAAGTAACCTTATTCTACTTGATGACAGCCCCAAGTGTACAAGTAGTGACATTGGCCACTTAGACAGGCCAGAGGAATCAGAAAATTCAACCTTCGTGTGAAAATATAAAAGTGCTTACCTTAATTAGGAAAGAAAAACAGTATATGTTGGGATTTCTAAGATCTACAGGATAATTAGAGCAATAGATGATAGATAAATAATAGATAGATAGATAGATAGATAGATAGATAGATAGATAGATAGATGATAGTATATGTTTGATGGATAGGTGGTGAATGGATTGATGGATAGATGATGGATGAGTGGATGAAGGATAAATTGTTGGGTTAGATAATGATAGAATGATAGATGAATGAATGCACTGATGATGGATAATGGACAAAGATATTAATGTATGGATGCATAGATGATTGATGGATGTATAGATGATGGACATATTGGTACATGATGGGTTAAAATGAGTGTACAGATGACTGACGGATTGTGTGTGGATGAATGGATAGCTAGATGACGTACGGATTGGCAGATAGAGAGATGACGGACTGATGGATGTGGAAGGTAATAAGTGGATGGGTAGATAATTGATGGCTGGATAGACAGATGGAGATTGAAGAATGAGTGTACAGGTGATGGATGGATAGAGCAAAGGAAGATGGGTAGGTAGATGATGGATTAGTGGACGGGTCCATGATGGATGGGTGGGTGATGTGTGAATGCATGGATGGAAGGACGATAACTAAATACTATAGGTGGATCCCTTGGGGATCCCAGAACCTACCCAGGCAAGGCTAGGGAGCCTGCTGGGTTAGAAGACAATGAGGGAGTCCAACACACACAGCACTGAGACCGGAATGCCAAGCTTGAGCAAGGGTGTCCGCGTTTCTCCTCGGCAGCTCTTCTGAGAGTGAGTTCTAGGTCTACTTGAGCCTTCCAGTTGGGGCCTGAGGTTGGACTCAGCCACAGAAGACCCTTCCTGAGTTCCTGGTAGCATAAAGGAGGCACTTGGTATTTCAAATGGCCCCCACAGGAGTTAGTAGCACTTTCCGCTGACAGTTTATAGACAAGGAGGCTTTGGCTTGTTCCAGGCCACAGGCAGGCTGTGAGTTAGTGGCATGCATGAACCGTGACCTCCAACAGGGCTACTTTGTCAGTTCCTTGTGACTGGCCCACAATGACCTATGAAAGGACTGTCTACCAACAACACCTGTAACCATTGTCACGCTGGAGCCGGCGGTGAGCTGGCCTCATGTCCCTGGGCCCAGTGAGCCTCACTAAGCAGGAGATGATCCCTACATTATGCATGTCTGGTTTGATGTGACTCCAGGGTGGTGGCCCTGAACCCAGGCTGAACTGTGGCTCTGATCTTTCAGCTCCCTCGAGTGGCGCTCTGTGGACCTGGAGGAGCAGAAGCGCCTGGGTCACTCTGCTCTTGATGATGGGGAGTTTTGGTAATGGCTTCCTTTCCATTTTTGTGTGCAATCAGGGTCATGTATCCAACAACCGCCCCTCTTTCTCCCTTTCCTTCCTCATCCCCTTCCCTCTTCCCTCTGTCTTTCTCCCTGTCTCCATCCTTCTGGGAGGGACCCCAGGAGTGTCCCCCCCTCCAGGAAGAGAGTTAGGTGGTTGACTGTACAGAAGCTGCTGCCATTGCCATGATGCCTGATAATGTGTCCTCGCCTCTGTCTCAGGATGGCATTCGAGGACTTCAAGGCCCATTTTGACAAAGTGGAGATCTGCAACCTCACACCTGATGCCCTGGAAGACAATGCCCTCCACAAATGGGAGGTGACCGTCCACCAAGGAAGCTGGGTTCGTGGCTCCACAGCTGGTGGCTGCCGCAACTTCCTGGGTAGGTGGCCTCTCTGTCATTCCGTCTCCTATTCCCATATCCAGTCTATCTGGGGACATGGAAGGGACATGCTGTAGAGTGGGACAGCAAGCTCAGAAGATGACAGCCGAGTCTTAGGCAGAAAGCTGGTAAGAGACACCCAGGGAAATGCCCTGTTGTAAGGTTCAGGGGACATAGCCACAAGTCACACCAGGTTAGTGGGGGGAAAGGATCTACTGCCCCACAGAGAAGTGGGGGGCAGGCATCAGAGCCTTAAAGGGCTGTGTGGGTAATGGTTGAGGAGGTGGAGGAAGCAGAAGAGTCTGAGTACTGCTGAGGGTAAAGAAAGTAGGGCGAGAGGGCCAACGGAAACAGAGAGGAAAGAGACCACCTCTCCAGGACTGGAAGCAAGCAGCGGGGGTGCAGTAGAGAGTGTATGTGTCCTTCTGAGTGTGGGTCTTGTCATTTTGGTCTTTGTGTTAGTGTTATGAGTGCTCACATGTATGAGCCCAGGAGTTGGGTTTTTATTTTGATTTTGTAATTTTTTTTTCTGTGTGCTCATGTGAGTTGAGAGACAAAAGACAACCTTGACTGTGACTCCTCAAAGTCACCGCCTTGTTTTTAAGGCAGGGTCTCTCACTGGCCAGAAGCTCATCAAGGAGACTAGGCTGGCTGGTCAGTGAGTGCCAGGAATCTGCCTGGTCCCACATCCCCAGCCCTAACTGTGTGCGCTATACCCACCTTGTCTTTTTACTTATCACATTTATTTAGTGTGTGTATACATACACGTGTGCATGTGTGTGCAAACATGCATATGCTTTCCATGGTGCACCAGTGGAGGCTGAGGAACAGCTTCTGGGAGTGGGCCTTCTCCTTCTGTCTTGTGGGTTTTAGGTCATCAGCTTTGATAGAAAATGCCTTTATCCACTGAGCCGTCCTCCTGAACATTTTGTTTATTGTTTATTTTGTTTTCATTTTTTGGTGGGAGTCGGTTCTGGGAAATCATACTCACATGCCCACACAGCAAGCATCTTGTCATCTGAGCTATGATTTTCCATTTTTAAGGGAGGGATAGTAATCCACCCCCTTTCAAATGCAGACACCTTCTGGACCAACCCACAGATAAAGCTGTCCCTGACCGAGAGGGATGAGGGCCGGGAGGGCTGCACTTTCTTAGCTGCCTTGATGCAGAAAGACCGCAGGAAGCTCAAGAGGTTTGGTGCCAACATGCTGACCATCGGCTACGCCATTTACCAGGTAGGGACCAGCTGCTCTCAGTGTCCCTGCAAGGACTGTGAGTTCCCTGTTGCTTCTGAACTCTGGGCCACAATAAACAGCCAGTTCTGCAGCTGAGTTGAGTATGGAGACCAGAGTCATGTCTCCCTGATGACCTCTGCTTTCCCTTGCAGTGCCCAGACACAGACCAGGACCAGGATGGACACCTGAGTAGGGACTTTTTCAGGTACCACGCCTCCCTGGCCCGAAGCAAGACATTCATCAACTTAAGAGAAGTGTCGGGTCGCTTCCAGCTGCCCCCGGGAGACTATGTCCTCATCCCCAGCACCTTTGAGCCACACCAGGAGGCTGACTTCTGCCTGAGAATCTTCTCTGAGAAGAGAGCAGTTACTCGGTGAGGAGTGGGAGCTGCAGAGTCCACAACTCTTGATGCACTCCCTGTGAGTGGGGGAGCCAAGGCAGCAGGAGCCTGAAGCAGTTCACATCGCCTGTGCTGTCAAGAAACAAGAGAGATGAATGCCGCTGCTCAGGAGGCTTTGTCCTTTCTGTGCAATTCAGGACCCAACCCCAGAGGAATAGTGCTGAGCAGGCCAAGCGGCTGGTCTCTGACAATGCCCGTCTCCTCTGGAGGCAGAGCTTATGATTTTTAGAGGAGCCCTGTTCTGAAGATCACCCCAAGAGCCCTTTTGGGGTGCATCTGCAAAGCTGGTGCTGTCATAGTCTCTAGGTTTCATGTGCTCAGGATGGCAGGCTGCCCGTGGGATCATGCCAGTCTCCTCTCCGGCACTCTGGGCGGGGTTGAAAGGCTGGGGATGGGGTCTTGGTGCAGGGAGGGGTTGCCAACCCCATGAGACACAAGTAACACTGAACAAGAGGGCTCTGACAGGCCAGAACCCTTCCATAGCTCTGGTCCCATGAGATGCATGCCCACAACTAAGATGCTGTACTTTCTGCCACTGCAGGGACCTGGATGAGAACGTAGACATTGATCTTCCTGAGGTGAGTCCTCCCGTGTGGCTGAGGAGGGAGGGGTTCAGCTGAAGGTTCTAGAACTCTTCTTTGAAACCACAGTAGCTGGCTGCCTGCAGCGAGGTAAGAGAGGTAAGCGCCCTGACTGGTTCTAACTCAGAGGTCAGGGCTTTTGTTTCTCATCCCTCAGAACACCTGACACCTGTAGGACTAGGCAGGGGCCAGGCAGGTGCTTGGGATAAAGTCCTCTCAGGTACCATCTTTCTTTGGGCTTGCCCTTCTCCTGAGAGGCCTCTGCTAATTGTTAAAGAAGTGAGATGACTTCAAATTTACTTTATTTAAGAAGATAGCTGAGATGGGGCACACTTGTGATTCCAGCACTTCGGAGGTTGGGGGGGGGGAGGCTCAGGACTTCAAGGCAAAGTTAAGACCTGCCTGGGATATATAAGGCTCCACCTCAAAACATACACACACAAAAAGAAAGATAAAGAAGGAAGGAAGGAAGGAAAGAAGGAAGGAAAGAAAAAGAAGGAGGGGGAGGGAAGAATAGAAGGAAGAGGGAGGGAGGAGAGAAAGAAGGAAGATCAGAAGGAGGGAGGGAGGGAGGGAGGGAGAGAAGGAGAGGGGAAGAAGAGAAGAAAAGAAAAGAAAAGAAAGAAAAGAAAAATGAGGTCGGTTGAGTTGGAGAACACAGGACTCACTGTGGGGGTTGCGAGATCTCTGAGCTGTGCTTAAGACCTTTCTGTCCATGTGCACAAGTCTGTGTCATATATGTGTGTCATAAAAGTAGAAGGGGGGCTAACCAAAAGGAGGAAGGGATCTAGCAGGGAGAGCAGGGGAGGCTAATGGAGGAATTAATAAGGTCAAAGTACATAATATGCTTGAATCAACATGTCATTGTGAAATCCAAAGCTGCATAATAAATATTGGCTATGTGAGGGGTGAGGGAAGACTCCAAAGTGTTCTGAAACGGTCCGCATGTCCACAGGCAGCAGAACCCGCTTCGGGGAAAGCCTGCTGCTCTGTGCTGCCCCCTAGGACTGCAGTTTATTTATTTATTTATTATTTTCTAAACATACAAGGGCAGCCAGTATATGGCGGTTCTGTTGATGAGGACAACTGACCAGGTCTCTTCCTCAAGAGGTCACCAGATCTCATTACAGATGGCTGTGAGCCATCATGTGGTTGCTGGGACTTGAACTCAGGACCTTTGGGCCAAAATCTACAGCAGAGCAAAACACCTAAACTGTACTGAGCCATCTGCCTGCTCTGGGTGCTGGTGACAGACTTGGAAGGTGACTATCAAGAGAGATATTAGATCTGTCCAGACACCCTTAGCCTTCTCATTCATGTTAAGGGAGACTTAGGGAGTACAGATCTCCCACTCTGGACAACTGCAGTGAGTTCACTCAAGCTAAGCTTCATGTTCTTGATGAAACCAAGTTGTTCATCTAGCTTTGAGAGATCAGGAGATGCCGGATGAACCCGCAGGGCAGCTCTGGCCACGTGACTGAAAAGGCCCTCTTCTCTAGCCCCATGTGAAACGCTCTGGAGCAGCTTGATGCTGGCCAGCATGTTCTGTGCTGGGCACTTCCCGTTCTTTCCTTTTGTTGTGAGGGGATTGAACTAAGGACCTCCCACGTACTAGGGAAGAGCTCTGCTGGCTTTTCCTTCAGGGCCAGCCTAGCGTCCGGTGTGGGGCTCCTCTTTTCTGCTATTAATGTGGGAAAGCACGTGTCTGGCTTCTCTTCTGTGAGTTCCTCTCTGACCTTTACACAACCTCACTTGGCTCTTGCAGCCCCCAAAGCCAACTCCACAGGAGGAGGAAACAGAGGAGGAGCGGCAGTTCCGGGCCCTGTTCCAGCGAATTGCTGGTGAGGTAGGATACAACCGTCTTGGTCCCCTCTACACTCTGACTCTGGCTAAGGGCCTGCTCTGGGTTCCCAGCAGAGGACTGTGATCATGAGCTTGTCAACAGCATTTCCCCGAGCCCTTCTGGGCTTGTTACAAAATAAAGCCAGCTTGGTCCCTGGGGTTGCTGACAGTGTCAATAAATCACCTCTGTTGACCAGCGATAGGTTAGGGATGGGAAGAAGGTTAGGGTTAGGGCTAGGGCCCATTGCTTGTCCTTGGTCTTCCGCCTCATTCTCGTCTCTGCTCAGCTTCCTTTTGGGGAGCCCTAGCAGTTCTTAGGAATGAGATGAAACCTTACCTAGCTCCAGGCCTCATGCCCCTACTGGTAACGGCCTCCTTAGAGACCATAATAGACACTAGTGACTGTATTACCTTGCTCCTTTCTCCTGCCTGGGGCTCCTGGATTGAAAGGGCCAGCCTGGGGGCATGATCTTATACTCAGAGGACCATATCAGCTGGTTGCTTCTCAGATACTTAGAAAGTGGGGCAGGGGACTCAGGTGGAGAAACGGGGCCATATGCAGCCACCCCTCTCCAGACCCAGGCATGATAGGGGTGAGGGGGGCAAATGATCTCCAGAGGATTTTAGAGGTGATGGGCTGGTCCCACCCATATCACCATAGCTGTGAGTCCTTGAGCAGGTGCATGTGGCAGGGACCGAAGTCCCCGAGGGAACGGTGCATGCAGCATTTGGATGGAAGTGGGGAACCAGTGCAGGAACATTCACTCAGCCTTAATTCGCAACAACCAATAAAAGCCCCTTGAGAGTGAAGTTCCACCTGCTCAGGTCCTGTCCTGCTCCACATCCAACTGGGAGGCTAGGTGTGTGGCCCCATGCCTGTTTCCCCTGGCCGGAGGAGCCATGTTCTGCAATATACTTTCTTACCAGTGCTGAACACCCCAAAGACCCACTCCCGGGGCCAGGAAGCTTCAGTGGCAGAGCCGACTGGCATATGTTAAAATGATGTCAACAGTGACTATATCCACTTGGGTTAGTTCAGCACCTGAGCGTCTTGAGGAACTACCAGACCTCCAAGGGCATAAAAACCACATAGGTAGCTGGATGTGGTGACTTGTGCCTGTCATGTAAGCACAAGAGAAGCTGAGTAGGAAGATTTCCAGGCTAGACGGGCTACCTTGTCTCAAAAAAACTAAACAGGATCTGGTAAGATAGTTCAGCAAGTGTAAGTACTTGCCATTAAAGCCTGTTGATAAGCATTGGATCCCTAGTTCCCAGGTAAAGGTGGCAGGAGAGAGCCAGCCCTCCAGACATGTGCAGCTATCTCTCTCTCTGTCTCTCTCTGTCTCTCTCTCTCACACATGCACACACACACACACACACACACACACACACACACACACACTACAACACAATCTACTTTGAAGTGCCTGGACCACCTAGAACTGCAGTCTTCCTTCTGTGTCTCTGGTAACATCAGCTTCTGTTTTGTAGATGGTGGAGGTAGTTGCTCTCTTCAACTGACAATTCCAAAATTGACCCCTAGAGGTTTTATATTAACCAGTGAACTGTGTCCTAGGTCTCCTGCCTTGACTAGCAGGTGAGACTCCCATACATGAAGTGTTTCCAGTTCTCTGTGTACTCCTGTGAGAAGGTACGAGGACCTTCTCGGGGAACCTTGCATCCTCTGGGGAATGAGCAGCATGCCTTTCCCTTCCCTGAGTTTCTCCAGGCTGCTGTCTCTCCCGGGGCCGATGGCCCTCCCCTGAGAAAGCACTGGGCTGCAGCTACCATGGAGGTGAACTCAGCTCCCAGCAGTGTCCTCAGGGCCTTTCCAAGGAGCCAGGTCCAATTTAGGATTGATAAGGATCATGAAGAACAATTGTCTCTACTCCACAGGACATGGAGGTGTCTGCTGAGGAGCTTGAGTATGTTTTAAATGCTGTTCTGCAAAAGAGTAAGTGTCATTCCCACAGGGGACAGGGGCTCTCTGGAGAGGAAGAATGGCCTCACTAGCTGGGCTCACCCAGGCCCTGCTCCTTAGAGCCTCAGATCTGCTCGCCATGGCTGGCCTGTATGCAGACTGTAGAAACTGTTCTCTTTGCTGGTTTCCCAACTGCAGAAGTGATGCAGGCATGGTAGAGTGTTCTGCAGACTTTCCTACAGAAAACTTAGTGGTAAAGATAAAATCCATCGCACATCTTGACCCCAAGTAACCACTGTCACTGTGTGTGTGCACTGTGAATGTGTGTGCATTTGTGTCTGTGTGCCTTGTCTGTGCTGGGCATGTGTGCATGTGTGTTATCTGTGTTGTATGTCCACTTGTGTGTGTATGTGTGTATATGTGTCTATGTTTGCACATGTGTGTAAGCGTCTATTCCAGGACATTTTTGCCACAGCAGTCACTTCCTATTCCATCCTCCCCCAGTTCTGGTAAACTCTCAGCTGTCTTCTGTCTTAGACCTGACATTCTGGGCATTTCACACAAAAGAATCATGCAATTTGTGGTTGTTACTAGATTCTTACACATGGAATACTGGTGCGTGTCTGTGTATGTGTGTGTGTGTCTGTGTATGCGTGTGTGTGGTGTGTTCACATGTACAGATGTGCAGAGCCAGAGAACAACCTCAGATATGGCTCCTCCTGTCTTGTTTGTTTGGACAGAGTCTGTCATTGCCCTGGGAATCACCAAGTAAACTAGTCTGGCCAGCCAGGGAACCCCCAGTATGCCACCTCCCCAGTGCTGGGATTACAGATTCATGCCAGTGCTTCTGATTTTTTTGTTTTTTTGTGTGGGTTCTGGAGAATTGAACTTAGAACTTCATGCTTATAAGGCAAAAACTCCACTGCCTGAACACTCTCCCTAGCCCTTGTTTTTATTTTTTGGGACAGGGTCTGGCTAAATGCCTAGACTGGCCTCAAATTTGCCTTCCTCCAGCCCAGGATCTTGAATGCTGGGATTAAAGACACATTGTATACCCAACTACCTCTACGAGCTGTGTATGAATATCAAATTTCTTCAGCACTTTTGGGGATTTATTTTTTGTTTATTTGATTGTTTTTGTTTAAAACCAGATCTCTCTTGGGCCGTGACTGACCTGGAACTTGCTGTGATTCCCCTGCCTCTGCCTCTCTAGTGTGGGGATTATAGGCATACAATACCGCATTCAGCTCCTCTGCTATTTTAAATCCTGCCCTTTGAAGGTGTGTCGCTAGCCATTTTTATAACTTCTAAATACCCTTTGCAGTTATAGACAGGATGCTGATTGGGCTGGAGGGATGGCCCAGTGGTTAGGAGCTGCCCTTGCAGAGGACCAGAGCTGGGTTTCCAGCACGAGAGTTAGGCTGCTCATAATCTCTTGTAACTAGAACTCCGGGGCACCTCATGCTCTCTGCTGGCCTCCACAGGCACCGGTGCGTACACATGCGCAGACAAACCCACATACACACATCTTTAATAAACAGGCAGATGGTAAAAATCTTAGGATCCCTCGTGCTAAAGTATATGCGTAAGAACAGTCCCATCTTTAAGGCTTTCTGCACAGATTGCCAGCCTTTCTTCCAGAAGTCCAGTTCCTGCTCTCAGCATCCTTAGACGGTGTTCACATGATGGTCCCAGAGAGCCTCATTAAATACACCATGGACTCTCAGAAGAATAGGGGATAAATTTGTCTTGTCAGGGTCATTGATTGCATAGCTTCCCATGTAATTACAGAAACAGCCCTCAAGTTCAAGAAGCTGAGCCTGCTGTCCTGCAGAAATATCATCTCTCTAATGGACGTATCCTTTCCATGGACAGATACCCCTGAGCAGGGGTGTCCCCTAGTGCTCACTGTCCCAGGGTCCCCCTGAGCAGTGGTGTCCTAGTGTTTACTCTCTTGGGGGTCCCCTGAGCAGGGGTGTCCTAGGTGCTCACTCTCCTGGGATCCCCCCCTGAGCAGGGGTGTCCTAGGTGCTCACTCTCCTGGGGTCCCCCTGAGGAGGGGTGTCCTAGGTGCTCACTGTCCTGTGGCAGGCACCGCAGCTCTAGAAATAGAGGGCTCTCCCAACCTAACTAGGGTTTGGTCAAAATCAAAAGGGTCAGCACCACGCAGTGGAAAGAAGGTTTCTGAGGGGATCTGGGGTCTCCCCCAAGGGGACAATGGGCCTGCTTTCCTGTATTATAAATAGTCGGGTGATCCCCATCTTATCTGCCATTCCCGCTCTTCAGAGCTTCCTGTTTCCATCACTAAGTCACTCCCCCAGAGCCCCAACTCTGTTACCATATAACCCTGGCCTCCTCCTGTGAGCCCAGAGCCAGGCTACCATGAGGATCCTAAGTTGAAGGACCCTTAGCCCACGTGGCCAGACCAGTGGCAATGGGAAGCTGGAGTTTGAAGAGTTCCGGGTGTTTTGGGACAAGCTGAAGCACTGGATGGTATGTGATCTGGTCCAGATCCCCAACAGAGTGGGGCAAAGGCCTAGGCTACAGGTTGAGCAGTGTTGGGAGGGCGGTCAAGGAGCCGCAGTGCATCCTGTTGTTGGCAGAGGTGCAAGGGTGCTTCTGCTCGAGAGAAAAGGAGGCTGAGAATAGAGCCTGCCCTGTGAGACCTGCGTTGAAGACAAGAGGGCCCAAGTGGGTGGGGGTGGCACACACCTTTAATCCCAGCACTCAGGAGGCAGAGGTGGGCAGATCTCTCCAAGTTTGAGGCCAGCCTGGTCTACAAAATGAGTTCCAGAACAGCCAGGGCTACTCAGAGAAACCCTGTCTCCAAAAAATAAATAACTAAAAATAACGATAACAAAAAGGAGGAGGAAAGAAAGAAAAGTAAAAAGGGGTCCACGGGCTGGGGGGTCTGCTAAATTGATAATGTGTTTGCTTGGCATGCATGAAACCCTGGGTGTGATCCATAGCAAGAAGCTGGGCATTTTGCTGCACATCTATAATCCCAGCACTTAGGCAGCAGAGACACAAAGATCAGAAGTTTAAGTTCATCGTCTGCTACATAGAGATTTGGAGGCTAGCCTGGGCTAGATGAGACTCTGTCAAAGCAAAAGAGAAAGAAAGAAAGAAAGAAAGAAAGAAAGAAAGAAAGAAAGAGAAAGGGAGGAAGGACCGAAGGAAGAAAGGAAGAAAGGGAGGGAGAGAGGAGGGAGGAGGGGGAAGGTTCTGGTCCAACCTTGCCTAGAAGGCAGCTGTCATTCCGTGGCAGCTACCAGCTGTCACTGGTCCCTGGACTCTGACTTCTCAATGCTCCACTCCCTGGCCCAGAACCTGTTTCTCCGGTTCGATGTGGACAAGTCTGGCACCATGTCTTCCTATGAGCTGCGGACCGTGCTGAAGGCTGCAGGTAAAGAAACTGCAGTCAGAGGCGTGTTCTAGCTGGTTTTTCACCTGTTGTTTTAAGTGGGGAAAGAACCTGAGAGAGGATGGCTGGGGCAGTCAATTGGACAAGTGACAGGAACAGGAAAGGAGGCTGGGTGGAATGGGGGAGGGGCAATGAGGAAAGGGGGAAGGGAGAAAATATGGGGAAAAGAATCAACAAGGAAAGAACAGGGCTGTCTGTGATTGGCCAGCCTTGCTGTGTGCTAAACAGGCATTTACAGCCGCAACACAGTGTGACCCCTCGGGTCCTCTGTAAAGAACAGAATGTGTCCTGAGCAGAACAGACTGAGCAGGGAACTATGGGATTTCACCACGTCTTTGTCATCCTAAGTTGATATGGGGGAGAGCGGCCTATCTTGCTCCTCTGTGCCTATGGATGTAGACGCCAGGGTTTAGGAATGACAGGGCTGAGCATGGGGTGTGTGCCGCAGAGACCGTGCTCTGAGCCCGACCAGCCTCCACCTCTGGTGGAAGGGGGAGCATAAGCGAGAAGACCCCAGTGGACTTCCAAATGCTCCTGTGCGCATGCGGAAGGCACACACCCGGAGTTACAGCAGGGAACGAATTCCACTCCCCAAAAACATGCGTTAAGAAGCAGAGCAATGAAGACAGACCCAGATGGAATTCCAACTCATCCAGACTATCTGATGAATGAGAAAAACAAAGGCCAGAGAAGAGGAGCCATGTCCTGTGGTCGCAAGGGCATCTCCAGGGCCGCGCTGGCCTCCAGTGTGCATGGCACCTCTCTCTAGTATGATGTGAGGAGTGAGTCCCTACACAACATCCCTCCTTGAGGGTGGTATCCCCCTCAGGAGATAGCTACAACACCCTGGATCTTAAGGGTCTTGAGAGTACCAGTGGACTGGGGCAATGGCTCATCCGTCAAGGCACTAACCACACTACACAAGGCCCGGGTTCCACCCGTACTCTCACACAGGAACATCCACATGAACACACACACACACACACACACACACACACACACAAACTCACTTCTGTGACTCTGGAGACCCCAAAGCTGTGGGTTCACTATGGGACTCGGTCATCGCAGGTCCTGGGTCTCCTGTCCCTCTGCAGGCTTTCAGCTAAGTGGCCATCTCCTGCAGCTGATCATCCTCAGGTACACAGACGAGAGCCTCCAGCTGGGCTTTGATGACTACCTCAACTGCCTAGTGCGGCTGGAGAACGCAAGCCGTGAGTGTGCGGGGGAGGGGTAGTGAAGAGTGTGCAGGGGAGTAGTGAGTGTGCAGGGGAACCATGAGTGTGCAGGGGACCATGAGTGTGCGGGGGAGCCTTGAGTGTGCAGGGGACCATGAGTGTGCAAGGGATCCAAAAGTGGACAGGGGAGCTGAGAGTGTCTTGGACCCCTGGGGGCATGGAGTGCCCAGCTCCGGGTCTCCAGCCCTCATCTATGGGTATATAAGAAAGAACCCGGGAGCTGGGTGGTGGTGGCGCACGCCTTTAATCCGAGCACTTGGGAGGCAGAGGCAGGTGGATCTTTGTGAATTCGAGACCAGCCTGGTCTACAAGAGTTAGTTCCAGGACAGGCTTCAAAGCTACAGAGAAACTCTGTCTCAAAAAACCAAAAAAAAAAAAAAAAAAAAGAAAGAAAGAAAAGAAAAGAGAAAGAAAGAAAGAGCGAACAAACGAACCCGGGGAAAATATGGTAGATCTAGGACACAGAGAGGCACCGTGGGGTCTGTGAAGATAACTGTGCCCTGTCTTCAGCTGAGAGATGGAATAGGAGTGGCTGTAGGAGACTATGTCTTGTGGCTGCCATTCATCACACACCTACAGGTTGCGAAGGGCTGTAAGCGGGCAGGTCTCATACCACTTACTGAGGAAAGGCCCCATTTCAGATCGAGTCCCCCCACCTGCTGCTGTCCCTCCGAAAGCTTAGACACAGACTCGATCATTTTACCAGAGAGGAGGTGGTTCATTGTCATACTCTCCCCTACAAATAGCCCTGGAGAGTGGCCAGCGTGTCCAGGGCGGCTCAGCCATCCTCTGTCCCTTCTGCTGCAAACAAACATAAAGCCAATCCTTGTGGCTTTATAATCACTATGCATTTTACACCCCTGGAAAAAATCTTAGCTAATCTTCACCACTATGGGTTGCCCAGTCCATAGTGAAGTGTCCAGGGTGGTGAAAGAACGTCACCATTGCTTGGTAGACTCAGCATCCAAACAGGTCCATACTGCATCTGTGGAGTCTCCCTTCTCTCCTTGCTGCTCTGGGACAGCCCTCCTCCTCCTCCTTGTTAATCAACGTTTGGCTGTATATCTTCTGGAATGGGAGCCTGGCTTCCAGAGAAGACAGTCATTTCTCAGGTCTCTTGGGCCAGGACTTGAAGCCTGTTGAAGCCCCTTGGACGGTCTCCACCTTGCCAGGCAGGGAATTTGATCTCCATTAGAGGGCGCAGCTACCCACAGACTTTCCAGTGGTCCAGGAACCCTTAAACCCGCCCAGGGTCTTGTCTCCATCCAATGTGGCACTCCCTCCCTTCCACCAGGGGTGTTCCAGGCTCTCAGGATAAAGAACAAAGACATCATCCATCTCAACATAAACGAGGTATGGCCAAGCGGACCCCAGCTAGGGCCCGGCAGAGTACGAACACTCTGTAATCCTTACCCCAACCCCCCGGCAGGGTTAGCACTCACACTGGGCGATTACAGCGTAGAGGCTGGTGTTTCCGTTCGCTTGGCAGTCGGTAGGATCCGCGCTGCAATCCTTTGAGCTGTGGGTGTCTTTGTTGCGCTCGTGTCTGCTCGTGCTTTGCCCAGGGAAGCACGTGTGGAGGAAACAGAACATTCCATGCAAATGTGAGCAAGCCTGGTAGGAAGAAGGGAACCGCTTCCGGCTGCTTCTGTAGCGGTCCACTTTCCCACAAAGAGCCTGAGCTGTCTGCCTGCTTCTCTTTCCCTCAGCTCCACTGTGGTAGAGGGTCACCTTTATCTGAAAGAGGGAGGGTCACCAAAAAGCAAGCTGCCCTGCCCAAGATGTCTCTGGGAGGCTGCCCCCTTCAACAGGGAGAAAATACTGTCATCTCTCTGTCCTGAAAGTTCATTTAGCCTTTAAAAAAAGATTCACCTGGCTGGGGAGCTGTGTGCGAAGTGCCTGCTGTACAAACATGAGGACCCGAGTTGGAGCGCCCCCTCCCGCGCCCCCATAATCATGTAAAAAGTTGCCTTTGGTGGCGCGTTCTGTAATCCAAGCACTGGGGCCTGAGGCAGGTGGATCTCTGGAGCTCATTGGTCAGTATGGGCAACTAGTGAGCTCCAGTTCAATGAGAGACCCTGTCTCAAAATATAAGGTAGGAAGAATGCCTGATATCAACCTCTGGTCTGTAGGCATGCCTACATACTTAAAATAATTATATATTTTAATTTATATAAATCAAAACACACCTGCCAAATTTGTTTTAATTTAAATATTTAAAAAATGACTTCATGTTGAGTCAGAAGTCCAAATTTGTAGGGAAAATGATCAGCAGAGGACATGTGACATAAACTGAGGTCACTCCCGTGCTAGACCGGACTTGGAAGGGTAAGCCCTCGTCTCTCTCTCTCTCTCTCTCTCTCTCTCTCTCTCTTTCCAGTTCATCGCCTTGACCATGAACATCTGAGGTTGCACCGGGACGCCGTCTGTCCCTCCAATACTCACCTTCTAGACCATGAGAGTAAGGATGTTTATTGGAAGTCCATTGTCCCCACTGCTCTCTCCCTGCCTCACACTACCCCCTCCCCTTTCCACGGTGATCTAGAAGAATCTAAAGGAATTGGCTGTGTTTTCTGATTCTGATATTTTCTGTAAAATCATTTCTTCACAAGAACCAATGGTGCCACTGTGCCTGTTAGGTTCTCCTCCTTCCCTGACCCCACTACTGACTGGTCATTCAATGTTCCAGTGCCTGAGTCCTGGCTTCAGCATGCTCCAGCCATGCTACTAAGACACACACACACACACACACACACAATGTTTTCCTTTTTTTTTCATTAAGTGAGAGATTAGTGAAGATGTTTATCTCAGGTGGAAGAAATAGAGCCTGCTGATGCTAAGAATTTGAAATATTATGGAGCAACCTGGAAATTATTCTGATAGTACTATAGGTGACTATTGGCACTACTGTGGTGTGTGTGTTGTATGTGTGTGTGTATGTGTGTGCCTGTGTGTGTTGTATGTTTGTGTGTGTATGTGTGTGCCTGTGTGTTGTATGTTTGTGTGTGTATGTGTGTGCCTGTGTGTGTTGTATGTTTGTGTGTGTATGTGTGTGCCTGTGTGTGTTGTATGTTTGTGTGTGTATGTGTGTGCCTGTGTGTGTTGTATGTTTGTGTGTGTATGTGTGTGCCTGTGTGTGTTGTATGTTTGTATGTGTGTGCCTGTGTGTGTTGTATGTTTGTGTGTGTATGTGTGTGCCTGTGTGTGTTGTATGTTTGTGTGTGTATGTGTGTGCCTGTGTGTGTGTATGTGTGTACCTGTGTGTGTGTTGTATGTTTGTGTGTGTATGTGTGTACCTGTGTGTGTGTTGCTCATGCATAGAGATTGGAGGATAACATCAGGTGTCCATTCCTCAAACACTATTTGCCTTGTTTTTAAAATAATTTTATTTATTCTATTTTAAATTCCATGCACACACGTATATCTATGTGTAGGTACGCATGCGTGCAGCTGCCCTCAGGAGCCAGAAGATCCTCTCAAGCTGAAGTCGCAGGCGGTTGGGAGCTGGGCAGCAGGGGTGCTAGAGACTTGGGTCCCCCTGCAAGAGCAGCACAGGTTCTTGCCTGCCAAGCCCTTTCTTCAGCCATCCCACCCTGGGTTTTGGCTTGTTTCGGGTTGTGTTTGGTTTTTGTTTGTGAGGCAGGGTCTTTCATCTGAAACCCACCAGATGGGATAGGCTGGCTGGCCAATGAGTCCTAGGGATCTCTCTGTTTCACACCACCAACTTTGCCTTTTTAAAAGGAGGCTTCTGAGGATTAAACGTAGATGCTCTGGCTTGAGAGGCAAGCACTTTACCCGCTAAGCCGTCTCCCGGCCTTTTCATTCTAACTTTTAAGAGCATTTGTTATTTACTTATTAAATGAGATGTATATGTGTAACAATGTGCAGGTGAATGCAGGTGCCTGAGCGGTCCAGAAGAGGGTGCTGGATTCCCTGCAGCTGGAATGGATTATAGGCATCTGGGAACTGCCTGAGTTGCATACTGGGAACTGCCTGAGTTGCATACTGGGAACTGCACTCTTTTAAATAAGACAAAGTCTCACCTATGCAGCTCTGGCTGGTCTCAAACTCAGAGATCCACCTGCCTCTGCCTCCGCAGTGCTGGAATTAAAGCCCCCAGACCTGGCCAGCCCTTTTAATTGTTCTTAACCCATGAGCCATCTTTCCAGCCATCACTACCTAAACATTTTTTTCTCTCCATTTGGAGAAATGACTCGGTGGTTAAGAGCAAGAACTGCTCATGTCAAAGACTGAAGTCGAAGTCTCCATGCTCACAAGGGGGCTTCACAGTCACCCGCCGTCAATGTCTGCTCCTCAGAGAGTTTCTAGGCTTGACCCCGTCACAGCCCTGTCGTCAGACCAAAAGAACACACACACGAGGCATAGAAACTGTCTCTAAAGGTCCTTAGACTTTTTTCCTCTGGGCTCTGCCTGGCACAATATATAGAACCAACCCCTGGTATTTGAAATTTGAAGTTGGCTCCAAACTCCCCCAAATCCTATCCCCTTAGAGCCTTGTGGTCCACTGAGAGGCCAGGGCTTGAGAAAAACAGGGCATGTGACTTGGGCAATAGTACCAAGATCACTGGTGCCAGCCCAATTCTGGGCCCTGGATCTTTGGTGAGAACAAGGCGCCATTCTACCGAGAGCCAAGAGTGCCTGCCAACTGCCAGGGTGAAGGCTACCCACCACCACAGCTGTGAATCAGTAGTAGGCTGTGCTGGCTACCAGTGTGACGTGGGCATGTTCCCAGCCCTTGAGCTTTTCAGAAGGGAGAAAGAGAAGGAGAGGAGAGAGCTCAAAAGACTTTCAAGGCACCTGAAGTGCATTGAAACACTCCTGGGGACAAAGCCAGGTTCATTGTCTGCAGGGGAAGCTTTGTTCCTTCCAATGAGAGGGAACATCCAGAGAGGCACTGGAGCCTCTGGAAGCAAATACAAGATAGCATAACAGAAGCAGCTTTGAATTCAGTGCTTCTGTGCTCTCTGAGACCTCGGCCACGCCACTCTGAAGTCCTCAAGCACCAAGGCTTGAAGGCCAAGCCAGGGGGGTGTCTCCTGGTCTAACCGAGTGATGGAGACACTAGGAAGAAGGGGGAGAGAATTGCCCCATCCCCTGACAGCTCAGAGTACTGACTAGGGAAGATGTCTAAAAAGGTATCACACACAGAACCTGGCTCCCAGAAGCTTCTCAACTCTCTCCTTCCCATCACAATCCGGGAACTGCCATCTTAAGTGTTTGCCAGATTTTATTCACTATATAGACTTGGTTCTCTTGCCCCCCAGAGTCTACCTCCAGCATTGTGGGTTTTATCCCCATGGTCGTTTCCCATCACTCTTCATCAGAGTGGTGCCAGCCACCTGAAATGGGAGTGTCAGTGAGATCCGTGTGAGATCTACAGCCGCAGCCCCCGGTCGAGTCCCCTCTGTGACACTGATTCTTTTCACGCCCTGGCTGTCGCCTGCCTCCAGCCCCTCTCTCTGGTCCCCTTGGCGCATTCACCTGCCTCTGCCCAGGTTTCCTGGGGGTTCCTCTCAGCCCCTCTGCGTTTCTGGTTAAACGTCCTGTAGCTTAAGTCGCCATTCTGCTGTTGTCTGGTGTGTGAGCTTCCATGCTCCTTGTCTGTACACCACAGGAGAGGAGCTGTGTCTGCATTTCCATCCCTCACCCTGTTGGAGTCATACTGGACACCTCTGCCTCAGCCCCTCTCCACCTTAGCTTTTGAGACAGAGTCTCTCTCTAAATTTGGAACTTTTCATTTGAGCTAGACTAACTGGCCAATGAGCTCCCAAATCCACCTGGCTCTGCCCTCAAGAGCTGGGATTAGATAGCTTAGGTCCTCAGGGTTTGCACGGCAAGCCCTTTACCACCGAGACCCTTTGTTTCTTCCTTCTTAATACTTAGAGTAAGGATTAAATTTCAACACCAGAAATCTTGGGGCACATGTTGAAACCACAGATTCAATACAAGGTATAACTTCTAGATGGTTCTTCCTCCTTTCAATATATTAAAGACATTGCTCCAGTTTCTCACAGCTCATAATATTTCTGATGAGAAATCTGTTATCCTGATTTTGTCCTTTTGTGTGCACTTTGTTCTTGTGGTCGGGCTTCCTTGAACATCTCCACCCTATGGCAGTAGCGAGATGAGCCCCTGTGTTCTCTGTACTTGCTGTCCACTGAAGTTCCTGGGTTTCTGTTTGTTTATAAGTTTATGGCTTTTATTAAAGTTTGAAATGGGTTACTTCTTTCAAGCATTTTTTTTTATTACCCCACTTCTGTTTTGGGCAAGTCTGGGTGTGGAGATACATGAAGGCACTTGAACTTCTCTGACAGCTTGTATGGCCTCTTATTCATTTATTTTATTTTATGTGTGTGGATGTTTGGCCTGTATTTACACATGTGTTCATGTGAAGAATGCCTGCAGAGGTCAGAAAAGGGTGTCAGAACTGAAGTGACAGGTGAGTGTCAGTAACCATAAGGGTGCTGGGTCCTCTTGCTTTATTGCTTTTCCTTCCTTCCTTCCTTCCTTCCTTCCTTTCATCCTTCCTTTCTGTTGTTGTTCTTCCTTTTTTAAGATTTCTTTTATGTCTATGAGTGTTTTGCCTACACGCGTGGACGTGCACCATTTGTGTGTCTGGTGCACTTGAAGGCCAGAAGAGGGTTTCGAGCCCCCTGGGACTGGAGTCACAGCTGGCTGTGAGCTCCCATGTGGGTGCTGGAAATTGAACCTCAGTTCTTGGTAAGAGCAACAAGTCCTGTTAACTGCTGGGCCAAACTACAGCCTTCACTTGTTTTTCCCGGTGTTCCATTCTATGACTTTTTCTGTTTTTCATTTTCTCTGTCTGCTTCTCATTCTGTCGGATGCATTTTCTCACCTAAGCCTGTGTGGTTTCCATCTCCTTGGGTCGGCTTAGGTTTTCCGTCTTTTCCCTGTCTCTGTTCCATCTTTCCCGGGGCTTTGTGCACACATAGAGCACTATAGAGCCCTATCTGTGCCCTTGTCTCTCAATCCATGCTCTGGCTCAATTCTGGGCCAGTTTAAATGATTGATTTCCCCTGGCTGTGTCTTCCTGCTTTGTCTGCGTGACTGAGCACTTTTAATTGATTGTGAATTTTAGCTTGGTTGCTAAATATTTTCACATCCCCATAAATGTTATTTACCTCTGCAGAGACACAGGTTATTGGAAATCAGTGGGATCATTCTGTGTCTTGATTTTAAGTTTTGCCACCTGGGACCACGGCAGCATCTAGTTTAGGATCCACTTTCCCCTCTGCTGAACTCACAGACAAAAATCCAGTATAACCAGTTAGTTTTAAGGTCTTTCATCTATTAAAAATTATTTAATTTTAAGTTGTATGTGTATGGGTGTGCTCCTGAGTGTGTGCACCATGTGTGTGCAGGAAGCCTTGGAGGCCAGAAGAGGGTGTCACAACCCTTAGAAGTGGAGTTACGGGTGTTTGTGAGCCACCATGTGGGTGTTGGGAACAGAATTTGGGTCTTCTCCAGCATCCTTCTCTCTTTTTT